CCAGCTCTACACCGCCCGTCAAGCCCGCAACTCTAGCACTCCGATGGATCTGATCCAGGGCCATGTTCTTCGGCATCAAGAGGGCGATGTTCGGTGAGAATTTGGCGCAGTGCCGAAGGATCTTGACGAAATCGGGCTCCATCTTCTCGAGATCGAATAGGCCATTCGAGTACGAAGGGCCACCCCAAGGAGGACCGCAGATGATGGCGTCGATCGGGTTTTTGAATAGATCCTCCTCCAAGTCGAAGAAGTTGCTGACTTTGAAGGAAATCTTCTCCTCCGGGACGCCGTAAAGTCTCGCCATCCGACGCGCGCTGTTGACTTCGTATTCGTTGATGTCGGAGGCGAAGACTTTCGAAACCTCGTCCATGACGGCTGCCTGAACGATGAAGCCGCCGGCGCCACAGAAGGGATCGAAGACCCGGATTTTCCTCCCCAGTCTCCGGCTGAGAGCGATGACTCTCCTCGCGATGTGCTTGGAGATCTCCTCCGGAGACACCGAGAACCAGGCCGTTCGGCTCAGTGCGAGGCTTGCTTGGTACCTCGAGATCAAACGGAAGCGTTGCGAGAAATACTTCCGCATTCCGTCTCCTGAGCAAACCTTGCGGGCAGGAGCTGTGGCCATCCTCGCGAGGAACTCGGTCTCCTTGGCCAACTCGACTCCACACAAGCGGCAAGGAGCCTTGCTAACCATGAAGTTGGTCCTCGCGGCCTTGTCAGCGAATAGTAGGCCGGTGGTCTCGAGCTGCTCCACCCGCAGGACTGTTGTACCGAGCTTCCGGTCCTCGCAACAACATCTCTGACCTGAGCGAGTGGACCGGGGCCGGAAATTCTCTCGGGGCTTCTTCGGGAACACACTCTCACAGTCAGCCGCATAGGAGCGACTCACCACGACAGGTGTTCCGTCCGATTCCGCTCGAAGGAGAACTCGGTACACTGGTCCTCCCTCGGAGCCGCAGAGGAAATTCGCGTATCCTGGCGCGAAGGAGCCGCGATGACCTTGGTGTCTGGGCTCGTACTCTAGAAGATGGGCCGAGCATCGTGTTCCTCCGATTTGCACTCCGTAATGGCCGGTATGCTCGGACGACACTAAGAAGGTCGAACTCGAAACCGCGGTGATGGATGCTGATCCGCGGGGGACGATCCGTTCGTCTTGTAAACGGCTCAGCACGGATCTCGCTGAGACATGGCCTCCCGGAACAATGTGGAGGATCTTCGTGCGCCCCGGGAGAGGAGCAGGGTAAATGATTGGGGAAGTCGCCTCCACGACGTTCGTCTCACCAGGACCGTTCAGGGCGGTCACCCTCGCGATCACGTCCCGCTTCTGATGCTCGCTGACTTGACTCTCGAATTCCTGTTTGTTGAACTTCTGTTCAGCGATGAGCTCGGCTCCCCGGCGTTCCTTCAATTCCTTGAGCGTCTTGAACATTGATCGGAGCTCAGACCGTACAACTCGCCTGACGCTGTATCGTCGGATCGCATTTTTGTCGGACGGCGACGTGAACAACACTGCACCGAACATTGTCTCGGATGAGCGCCTAGTTGAAGCCATTATCCGGAAGACTCCTGCCACAGAAAACCTTTGCTCCGAGCTCACAGCATGAACTCTGCCACGGACTGACTGTAGTCATCTTACTTTTCTGGCTTTTTATTGATCTCTAAGACACATTGGGAGAGTGCGAGGGTACGATTGAATGCGACCTCACCAATCGTTCTCGGGCGCCCCATCAATCGCTTGGATGATTCAAATTCTTTGGGGTTAGGGCTCTTCTTCGCTTTGAATGCGGGGTCGACCGCTGTCGACCGAATGGCAGTGGGGGGGGGATAGCTTCTAAGAACCCGGATTATGACGGACCATCGGATAACTAACGAATTTACGAAAAAGCGATCCGGCCTCGTAGTCTACATGCGAGAGGTGTTTCTTCGTCG